GCCCGGGGCAGACTGGGAGGGGGAGGGGGAGGGGGCAGCCAAGCCCTGCCCCAGCCCGGCGCGGAGCTCCTCCTCCTCCTCCTCGCTTCCATCTCCGCTCAGGGGCGGATCCCGCCACCCCGGCTTGGCCTTTGAGCGGGCTCCGCCTGTCGGTGAGAGCGGGCGGGGGCCCTCGTACAATGGGTGATCGGTAGTGGTAAAAGCGCTCGAGTGTACAATAGTCAGTAAGACAGCTCGTTGATGCAGCAGGGCAAAACCTAAGTCACTCTCAGAGTCTTAACCGACTTAGGGGTTTGCTGTCACCACTTTTTTATGACTGCTTGCCTCAACATAAAGATTTTTTTTGTTTTTGGAAAGATATGTCCACACACACACACATATATACACATACATACATACACACACCATCTAGCATACATTCTTTGCAAACAAACTAATTTTCAAAACCTTTTTTTTGGTTTAAAAAAAATACACACACACACTTTCTAATATACTTTTCTTCCCATACCTTAACTCACCCAACAAAACCTGTAAACCCATTACAATACATACACCCAAGGACCCATGCCTCCATGCAACTGCCTACTGGCTTCCCTACCCCAAACACAGTCTCAAAACATCATGCCTGTCCCAAAAATCTCACATCCACGCACCTGCTACAGTGATGGCACTCATGTACCTACGCTCCCATCCATAACCCTTTCCTGGTTACGTTCACACTGTCCCTTTGGTTCTAGCTCTGGTTACAAGCTTTGAGCCCTTCGTTCATATCACTGTGACAGTCGCTGTAGCTGTTGCTCAACATAAAGAAATACTTCAACTTTGATACCCAGTTCTCTTGAAGAGAAAAATAGAGGACATAAAGGCATCCCGTTTCATAACAATAGAGGACAACCGGACTGTCCTCTATGATGGCCACCCTAGGACTGGTACAGGGAACAGGCCAGGAAGACGATCTTCCTGGCCCAGATCCCCTGGGTGGAGGAGCGCGGAGAGTGGTCTGTTTATTTTAGCAAGATAAAGGAAAATAAGAAAGGAGCAATGACCAGCCTGGTAGACAGAGCTGGGGTGGAGCACCAGTAAAATGAGGAGATGCTGGAGATGGTGGTCTTTACAGAATATACATGGCATGACTGCAGGACTCTGGGGCAATGCAGAACTGCCTGCAGAAACTCACGCAGGTTCTTGGGGAGGACGAGGGACAGAAGCTGGGGGAGGAGTGGACACTGGAGAAGATCAACATGATGCTCTGCAGCTTCTGGGACAGTAAGACTCCTAGGACAGATGGCTTGCCCAAGGAGTTCTATGTTGCTTTCTGGGACCAGGTGGGTCTGGACCTGCTGGAGGTCTATAGGGAGCTCCTGCAGGAGGGTCACCTGGGAACAGAGATGGAGGAGGGCCTCATAACCCTTATTTACAAGAAGGGGGAGAGGTGGGACCTTCAAAACTGGGGTCCATTTATGCTCCTGAACCTTGACTACAAACTAATGGCCAAAATGTTGGCTGAGCATTTTAAGTCTGTTATAGGTGCAGTGATTTTTCTCCCGCCCAGGCGGGGGGTCGGACTTGAAGATCTACAAGGTCTTTTCTGGCCCTACTTCTATGATTCTATGATATGATATGATCCATGAGGATCAGGCATGCATGGTGCTGGGTTGACAGATCCACAGAGTCCTGATGCAGCTGCAAGATGTGCTACAGTACCAATGGGAGAGGTGACAGAATATCGGGATGCTGAACCTCGACTTGGAGAAGGCCTACAACCAGGTATCTCATTGCTTCCTACTGGAGATGCTGAGAAAGATGGAGGTCCCTGCAACCTTTGTCACCTGGATAAAGGCACTTTACACCAATATGAACAGCAGGATACTGGTGAACAGGTCCCTGACAGCCCCAGTTGTGGTGTAGTCAGGTGTGAGGCAGGGCCGCCCACTCTCCCCAATCCTATTTATCTGCGCAATGGTATATGGAGTAGCAGCAGGCCCAAGCTCAACATGAAACAAAGCACCTGCCTAGTCCTGGGCAACCTCAAGGACCTGCCACCCCTAGGTGTCTCTGTCCCCCGCGAGGGGGTAAAGATCCATGGGGTGGAGTTTGACCCAGAGCTGATGGGGCAAAGGGTATGGGAAAAGATGGAGTCCAAAGCCAAACAGAAGCTGGGACTATGGCATTTGTGCTGCCTGCCAGTGGGGGTGGGGAGTGGTGCTGATGAAAGCAGTGCTTCTGCTTATCCTCCTATACAGCACTACAGTCTTCCCCACCTCAGAGCAAGTCATTTGCAGAATCCAAAGAGCCATTTGTGTTTTCTTTTAGAACTCCACCTGGGAGAAAATAGCAAGGACCAAGCTATACAAAGTGAAATGGTCCCGAGGTGGAAGAATGCCAGACGTCCTACTCTTCCTCTGGACATACATGAGCTACATTTGCAAACTGACAACAGGGGTAGAATCCAAAACCGCCCAGTAACAGAGAGCCTGGGCTCTGTTACTTTAAGATAAAGGCAGCCCCGCCAGGGAGTGTACTGCAGGGCAGGCAGGACACATCAGCTGCCAGTTGCCAGGGCAACCGGGCAAATGAGGCAGTTAGCAGACACCTGCAAGTGGTCAGCTGACCATATGGAGGCAGGGCCCAGGGAGCATATAAGCCAGGGGCAGGCAATTATTTTGGGTGGCGGGTTGCTGACTGAGTTTTGGCTACCCATTGAGGGCTGCATGACAGGCAGCCCAGGGCAGATTAATATTAATTTTCTAAATTTTTTAGGGGCCCCGCAGCCCGGATAGAATGGCTTGGCAGGCCATATCCGGCCCACGGGCCAGATCTTGCCCACCCCTGATACAAGCCCAAGGCTGGGGTTGGCAGGGGAGTCTGTCCCTGACAGCTGCTGGAAAAGAAGCTCCTGCCAAGGAGGGATACTTAGGGATTCCTGACTGCCTGTTTTGCTGCCTACAGGAGTAGTGAGGCCCCAGGAGCTCACAAGATACCCTGGTAGGGAGACATGCTATACTAAGGGTAAAGGTTTGCCCTCTTAAAGGGGCAGAGGGATGTTTCCATTGTTTTATTATGTTATAGGCCAGGGGTTCATGTTTATGTTGCTGTTCATACTGGTGGTTTGGGCTGGGACTCTAAGGGGTGCTTTTGGAGGTCACATTAGTGCCTGTGTCTGGAGCACTTACCAGGATGGGCTCAAGGACTGAGCTATTATTGAGCCCAGGAGGGGCAGTACAAGGCTACAGGGCAGACAGGGGCCAGAGGCACGGTGCCAGGGAGTGGCCCAGAGAGATAGGGGCTGGCGGACAGGGGCCAGGGACCCTGAAAGTGAAGGTGACAGATTGAAGCTAGTGCCTCAAAGCCAGGTCCAGCATAGTAGACCTAGGCAAACCAGTCTAGCAAAATTGAAATGGGTGGAGGCTGGGGAAGCCGAGGCCCCAAAAGAGGGAACAAAGTTATTGTAATACCCACGAGGCTTGGGGTGTGGTGTAGGGAAGGAAAAGGAGCCGCACAATTTTCCCCTAAGGCTACAGGTGCCCTACAGGAGCTTAGTCAAGCTGGGAGTGATCTATTACAATGGAGGACTGGAACGAGACCTGGGGCCAGGAGGGAGACAGGGGATAACTAGGAGGACTGAGGTTCACTCTGTGGCCTGTTGGTAGCCTCCCTTAAACACTCTTTAATAGTAAGATCAAGACATGGCAGGTGAGTGAACTAGAGGGGAGAGGCCATAAAATTTGAACCAGATAGGAGTTGCAGTTACATTGAAAGGTGTCACAGCCACCCTGGTGGTTGTGACCTGTTACAAGCCCACTTTGTCAAGTATTTTGCAGGGCACCTGCTGCAATAGTGGCAGGAGTACACAATGACCAAAGGGAGCCCATGGACTCGGGTGTCCCCATGGTTCCATGAGGTCCTGAAATGGTTCTGGGAAAAATACAAGCTGCACAATGTGATATGGGAGGTGGTAAGGGCGAAAGACATCATATCACCCATGGATTTGCTACCTGGTGACAGCTGCTAGGCCATGTGAGAGCAGATCTTCCACAAGGACCTGCAAAAGGAGCAAAGAGACGTAAACTGGCAGACAGCCCTGTGAAGGGAGGAAAGGGGGTCTGGAGAAGAACCTGGTAAGGACTGGAGACTTCTCACCCTCCTGTGCAGGGATAGTGGCAGAGGTGGAACGGTGGGACTCATACAAGGAACAAGAAGATGATGAAGCCCTGAAGGAAATTGGCTTCCTAGCTGGACAACAATCATGGGAGAGAGTTATAATAGTTAAGATGTTTTCAGAGATAAAGCAGATATAATAAGATGGAGGGAAAAGAGAGTGCAAAGAGTAGAAACAGTGGACAGAGTTTTAGATGAGCATAGAATTTGGACAGGCCTGGAGAGTAGGAGCAATTTTGGAAAGAGATGAATTTGATGGGGTGGGTGGTGAAGCACCTGCCATCAGTCATCCAGCTAGGGCCCCACAGAGGGTATGTAACATATTATGGGCAGCCCAAAATATGCAGCCAGTGTGGGAAGGAGTCTATAATTCCTGGGATCTACTTTCCACTCTTTCTTGAAGATGGGTACCACATTGGTGGAGAATGATTAAGAAGCAAACAAGGGAGTTTGTCTGCAAAGCAGGACTGAAGGAAGCACAAAGGAAGGGATGAGAACTGAGAACCCTACGTGGAGGAATTAGAGAAGTTGCAAAAACAAGCAGCACAAGGGGAAGACAAGAAAGAAGAGATTACAAGAACAAGAGGAGAATCAACAAATGATTTAAGAAGCAGGCAAAAGAGAAGATCTTAACTCAAGCGCCATGAACAGAAGGAGAAACATGGTGTAAATATTTTTCAGTCAAACTCAAAGCAGTGAAAAAGGAACTGCAGATGTTGCTATTTTCCTTTCTGTTGTCAGCACTAAGTCAAGAAGAAGTGCTGGAAGTAGCATGATCCTACTACAAAGAATTATATAAAGGTAAAGAGATATATTAAATGAAAACCCAGCTGTTTGTAGAGGAAATTGTACAAATAATAAGCGAAGAAGAAAGAGTGAAGATGGAGAGAGAAATCATCCAGAAGGAGGTGCACTCCCTGTATGGGCATGGAGAAACACTGCAGGGCAGAGAGGTTCATTCAACTGCCAACGGCCAATCTACTAGTGATGGGCAGAAACAATCTACCAACTCTTCTGGGACATGCATATGCCAGAGAGGTGTGAAAGAAAGTACATGCACTCCTGGTGGTGACAGGTGTCAGAATCCTGACCAGAGAAATGGTCCTCTACAGGCACTTGGCCAAACAGCAAAGGGCCCCAACTGTTGTACTTCCAAACTGGATTTTTAAACCTAGTGCTTTCTAGAATTGACACAACACTCCGTTGTTTAATAGCAGAAAGGTTTTAATAACTACCAACAAGCTATAAAACAGAAAAAAACCCTTTTTCAATATTCAGTATATGAACTATATTACCACACAGTCCTTGTATCTAGTTCCAAGAGATTCTTCATCCATGCAGGCCAGAAGCGGGTTCAGTCTCTTCAGCTTTCTCAAAGCATGGATCCATTGGCTTAGCCCAGCTGGGGGCGGGTTGCAGTATCCACTTTTCCTCTGAAGAAGATGGCCACTTTTTGCTGGCAACTTTTTCATTCTTATACTTGTTCAATTGTATAGCTTCAAAGCATTCATTCTTGATAGTTGGTTAATCAAAGTCTGAACAAAGGCAAGGACAGAATTAACATATTCCAATTGCATCCTGTTTGTGTATGTTTGTTTTGCTTTTGCAAGCTTTTGATCAGTTTGGAATCAAATGGGATTGGGTATTGATTGAATGAGGTACCTCTAGGAAGTTAATCACAGAATACTATCTTCCAGTAGTTATTTTAACAATGGAGCCTAATAAATAGCTACATAAAATGGCTTATGGAGATATCTGGCAGACATTGAATGCCTGTTTTCTCTTGATTAAGGGAAGATGTTACAAGGTTCTTTGGGTATATGGGATACCTTTTTATTAGCAGGGAGGGAAGTGGCATGCGGGGCAGATGAATGCCCCCGCAGTGGGGGAAGGATTGGGACTGGGCCTGGGGCAAGCACTGCCCGGGGAGGAGGTGGGGCAGCTTGCGCCGCTGCGCACTGCCAGTCTGGAAGCGGCTTGTGTGGGGGCTTGTCCAGGGGCTCTCACCACCGCTCCCATTGCTGGTCCAGGAGGGCATGGGGGGGACATGTGCCCCAGGTTGTGGGCGGGGCAGGGGTTTCATAGTTTCTAGGGTCGGAAGGGACCTGAGCAGATCATCTAGTCCGACCCCCTGCCATGGCAGGAAAGAGTACTGGGGTCAAACGACCCCAGCAAGGTGTTCATCTAACCTCTGCTTAAAAACCCCCAGGGTAGGAGCCTGCACCACTTCTCTTGGAAGTTGGTTCCAGACCCTAGCCGCCCTGACTGTGAAGTAGCACCTCATGATATCTAACCTAAACCTACTGTCTGTCAGCTTGTGACCATTATTCCTGGTCACTCCTGGCAGTGCTCGGGGGAACAGGGACTCCCCCAATGCCTGCTGATCCCCCCTGACTAGTTTATAACAGGCCACAAGATCCCCCCTCAGCCTTCTCTTTTGGAGGCTGAACAGGTTCAGGTCCCGTAGCCTCTCCTCATAGGGCCTGCCCTGCTGTCCCCTGACCATGCGAGTGGCCCTCCTCTGGACCCTCTCAATGCTGTCCACATCCCTCTTGAAGTGTGGCGCCCAGAACTGGACACAGTACTCCAACTGCGGCCTGACCAGTGCCACATGGAGGGGAAGGATCACCTCTTTGGACCTGTTCGAGATGCATCTGTGGATGCATGACAAGGTGCGGTTGGCCTTCCTGACTGCCTCCCCACACTGCCGGCCCATGTTCGTTTTGGAGTCACTGATGACTCCAAGATCCTTTTCCGCCTCCGTGCTGACAAGAGGGGAGTTCCCTAACCTGGGGTGGAAGGCGCTGAAAGCAGGGGTTCTGCCTCTCTCCCCCACCGCTGGCCAGTGCAAAACTGAGCCACTGTGCTGCCTCCAGACAAGTGGCATACGGCCATGGAAGCCGACCCGGCCTCCCCATGCCTCCCAGACAAGTAGCAGCTTCACCCATGGGAGTGGCAGGACATGGGTGGGGCATGTGCCTCCAGATCAGGGCAGGGCAGGCAGTGGAGTAGGGATTTATAGATTCATATACATTAGGGCTGGAAGGGACCTTGAAGATTATCAGGTCCAGCCCCCTGCCGCTGGGGCAGGAAGTCGGCTAGGGTCAAAGGATCCCAGCAAGATAAGCATCCAAACACTTCTTGAATGAGTCCAGAGTAGGTGCCTGCACCACTTCTTGAGGGAGCCTATTTCAGGCCTTGGGGGCTTGGACAGTAAAGAAGTTTTTCCTTATGTCCAGCCTAAAACGTTCATGGAGGAGTTTATGACCATTGGTTCTTGTTATCCCTTGGGATGCTCTGGTGAACAGACATTCCCCCGGATCCTGATGCACACCCCTTATGTACTTATAGGCAGCCACCAGGTCACCCCTGAGCTTGTGCTTTTCCAGTCTGAAGAGTCTCATGGCTCTCAGCCTCTCATCGTAAGGCCTGTGCTTTTGCCCTCTGATCATGCGCATGGCTATCCTCTGGATTCTCTCCAGCTTCTCAACATCCTTCTTGAGTTCTGGAGCCAAGAATTGGATGCAGTACTCCAACTGTGGCCTCACCAAGGCCGAGTACAGAGGAAGGATGACATCCTGAGATTTACTTGAGAAGTATCTATAGATGCAAGCCAGAGTTTTGTTTGCTTTACCAGCTGTGACATCACATTAGTGGCTCATATTCATCTTGTGGTCAATCATGACCCCCAAGTTTCTTTCAGCTAGTAAGCGTAGCACTGTCGAGCCTATAAGCGTGCTGTGGGTTTTTCCCCCGAGGTGGAGTACCTTGCATTTTTCGGTATTGAACATCATCAGGTTTATATCTGCCCACTTACTAAGCTTATCCAAGTCAGCCTGGATCACTAACCTATCCTCAGGTGTGGACACTGTACCCCAAAAATTTAGTGTCATTGGCAAACTTGGCCAGCGCGCTTCTGACACCAATGTCCACATCATTGATAAAGATGTTAAAGAGAACCGGTCCAAGGCCACAGCCTTGGGGGAAACTGCTGGTCATGGAGCTCCATAATGATTCGCTTCCATCGACTACTACTCTCTGGGTCTGACCTTGGAGCCAATTTCCCAGCCATCAGACCAAGGTTCCCTGTAAGGTGCACGCATGCGCGGCTGGGCACAACTAAAAGTGTGGCCACGCACAGCCTTTTCAAGGCCGTGCATCAGGAGAGACTGGGGCGGGAGCCTGCCGCGGGCTCCGCCAGCTCCGGGGAAATGCTCTGCTCCCCCGCATCAGGGCTGGGGAGTGGAGCACTTCCCCGGAGCCGGTGGAGCCCACACCAGCCCCCTGTCCTGGCCTCCATCCCTGCCTTGCCTCACCTCAGGGAGGAGCCACTGCCTGCCCCAGTCAGGGTCTGCCAGCTCCGGGACACAGCTCTGCTCCCCTGCATCACCTTGGGGAGTGAGGAGGCACATGGCGTCAGGGCCGGGGAGAGGAGCAGTGTCCCGGAGCCAGTGGAGCCTCACTGGGGCAGGCAGCAGCTCCTCCCCAAGGCGAGGTAAGGCAGGGATGGAGGCTGGCATGGGCAGCTGGCGCTGGCTCTGGGGAAGTGCTCCACTCCCTGGCCCTGATGTGGGGGAGCGGAGCACTTCCCCAGAGCCAGGGAGCCCGCACCAGGCTCCGACTCCGGCCCCTGGCCCCTGGCCCCAGCCCCTGGCTCCCAGCTTCCGGCTCCAGCCTCCGGCCCCCAGCATCTGGCCCCAGCCTCCGGCCCCTGGCCCGAGCCCACTTTGGTAAGTGTCCCACACCGGACTGAGGCAGCACGCTCATGGACCAAGGCTCATAGACTGCTGCTCCTTAGAGGGAACTTTGAATCAGACTGTGGTGTAGCTGAGGCTATAGTTGGCCAATTTTTCCAATAGGAGATCATGAGACACCAAATCAAAGGCTTTTTTCAAGTCCAGATATGTGATGTCAATCTCTTCTCCCTTGTCCAGGTGATATGTCACGTGGTGATAGGAGATGAGATTGGTCAGGCAAGACCTATCCGCGACAAGCCCATGCTGGCTGTCCCTCAGGATGTTGCCATCAGCCAGCTTATCCAGAAGGGTCTCTTTGATAATTTTCTTCAGAATCTTACCAGGGATTGAGGTCAAGCTGATTGGCCTATAATTCCTGGGATCTACTTTCCACTCTTCTTGAAGATGGGTACCACATTGGCCTTCTTCCAGTCTTCAGGTATTTCACTTGAGCACCATGAGTTTTCGAATATTTTTGCCAGTGGTTTGGCTATATTCCTGGTCTAATTCTTGTTTCTCATTAGGAAGTCTGTAGTAGACTCCTACCATGATGTCCCCTGTGCCACGTTCCCCACGTATTTTAAGACAGAAGGACCCCAGTCATCCTCCCTGGGTGCCAATGTCAATTTGCAGGGATGTGTAGCTCTCCTTGACATAAAATGGGTGGGGGTGTAGCTCTCTATCTGCACCATCTCTCCTGTAAAGGGTATAGCCATCTATACCTGTGGCCTAGTCATAGGTGGAGTCCCACCAGGTCTCTGTTTTCCCTATGAGATCATAGTCTTTCTTGTTTAGCAGGAGGACCAGTTCCTCCTGTTTGTTCCCCAAGCTCCTGGCATTGATGTACAGACATGTAAGTGTCCCATTGGAAGCCCTATGCTTCCTTGCACTCCCAGGTGGACACCATTCGAGGGCTGGGGTAGGTGTGGATTCCCTTGGTTGCCCTAACTGCTGGTTATGCAGTAGCTGCCTAGTGGGCTTGCATTGGCAGTTATCCACCCATCCCCCGGCGGGCTTAGTTTAAAGCCCAGTAGTGCAGGTCAGCCAGTCTGGGGTGGAAGCCATCTCTTCCCAGCCTACCACTGCCTCTCTCACCAAAGAGTGGACTGTGATTGTGGAAGCCAAAGCCTTCACAATGACACCAGCACCGCAGTCTCTGGTTGACTACTTTGATCCTCCTCTCTCCCTCCTCAGCCCATAGCTCAAAACCGGGAGGACTGAGGAAAATACCATCTGCTCCCCCAACCCCTTAAGTCCTGCTCCCAAAGCCCTATAGCACCTCATGACCCAGCTGGCATTGCTCCAAGCTGTGTCATTCATGCCCACATGGGTAAGGAGCATAGGGTAATGGTCGGTGAGCTAGATGAGTTTTGGGATCCTCTTGGCTATGTCCCGAATACGGGTGCCTGGAAAGCAGCAGACCTCCCAGGCTAGCGGGTCAGGGTGGTAGTCCTCCTCAGGAGGGAGTCTCCCATGATGACCACTGTATGAGTGGCCTTAGGGAGAGTAGAGATGGTAGCTGAGGATGAGCCTGCATTGCCTGCAGGAGCTGGCAACTCTGCAGGCTCTACTGGGAATGCAAGAGGTTTGTACCTGTTGCAAAGCTCCAGAGGGGCAGGGATCTTGGTGCGGCAGGCCTTGGGGCTGCTGATCACCTTGGTCCAACCCCCTGGCTGGACAGTATGGGAGATTCCTGAGTTCTCCCTTGTCCTGGAAGGTGACTTTGGTCTACCCTCCACCTTCAGGGGGTGAAGGGCCTCGCAGTAGGAGCCCATCTCCCGCTCACTATACCTGATGGTATGCAGTCTCTGGACTGCAGCCTGGAGCTCCTCTATCTGGCGCCCCAGAGACTCCAAGGTGGAGCAAACCTCTCAAAGGGAGGTGGCCATGCTCCCGGTCCCATGTGCCTGGAAATGTGCCAGGCAGCCCCTGCAGCTGAGAGCCAGAAGCTCTGTCTGCATGGAGCCCAGAACCCTGGGTTCCATCTGGGTGGAGGCCTCTAAGGTGCCAGAGGGTGGGGCCGCAGACTCTGAGGGGACCCTCGGGGTGTGGCACATGCCCATCCACATTGTGCCACTGGTACTCTGGCTACTGATGGGACTACCTTCCCTAGGGCTCACTGCCAGGGCCTCGGGCCCTCCCACTCACCATCCTGTGCAAACTCCCACGTTAAACTCGTGCACTGGGTCCAGAAGCATGCCTGTTTGCACACCCTGTTCATGAGGCTCCAGTCGCATGGCTTCCTGGGGGCTGTGTGAAGTAGGAGCTGGGGGGCGTGTCCCTCCTCAGCTCCCACTCAGCTGCCCCACAGCTGTCTGGGTTGGGGTCCCTCCCTCCTTGCCATGGCTCCCAACTACATCTGGCTGCACTGGGGGTCCAGTTAGGGTCCTACTGGGGGGGTTCTGGGGGTCTCTGGGCTCAACGGGGGCACAACGGGCTTCCGCCCATGCATCTCTCACTGGAGCCAGGGTTATGGGGGCTGTAGTGAGTCTTAGGGTGGCACCTGCCCCCCCACATGCCATGCCACTCCCAGTGCACCTGCCCCCAGTGTCTTCCACCTGGAGCTGAAGCCCCCACCCCATGCAGATCCTAGGGCACACGCCCCCGCCCCATGCCCTCCAGACCGGCAGTGGGAGCAGTGGCGAGAGCCCCTGGACAAACCACCACATGAGCAGCTCCTGGAACAGCAGCATGCAGCGGTGTGAGCCACCCCACCCTCTCCCTGGGCAGCACTTGTCCTAGTCCCAGCCCCAATCCCTCCCTTGCTGTGGAGGGATTGATCTTCCCCCTTCTGTCTCTTCTCTCCTTCCTCGTCCCCACCACAACAGACTTACCAGCTGGATGCAGCTGTGTCAATCGAGGTAAAGGAACCAATCCCCAATTTGTAACATTGTTCCTATGGGAAAATTGGTTTTGAGTTACAACATTTCAACTTAAGACGCAGTTTTCAGGAATCGATTGTGCTGTGAGTCTGAGGACTGCCTGTAGTTCGAATACATACACACCCTTTCCCCAATATCAATAACAGTAATTTGGTTAGAATAGGCTTTGTACATGGAATATTGACAATCTGCTTGGCCATTGCTTAAGCGTCCATCTTTGTAATACAAAACATAACTGAGGCATACATAGGTACGCTAGTCAGTTTTTTCACAGGACTAGAAATTGATTTCTTGCCAGTGGTCTTGCACTTTGATTGCTCATTGAGAAGATATAATAAGCATGAGAACAGTTTGGTTGATGGTAATACCTAGAGGCATTAGCGGGCTGGCTTTTAGAACATGCTGTGGCTGTGGAATATCAGCTGTGGCTGATATTCCACAATGGCAAGACTGAGTGTATTTGTGGTGGTGTTAAGTGTAGATGCAATTAATTTTGCCCAGGGACCAGTAACATGTTTTTTTTTAATAATTTCAGGTACATCTCCTTTTAAGGCCTGATTAATTGTGTCTTTGGCAGTAACTTATTTCCAAATCTGTGCCTGCACAAATGTAAGGGTGGCTGAGGTATTTGCCTCCAGCACCAAAATGGCTTTTGCCTGAGTAGCACTGTCAGCAGTTATGGTGTCACTTAGGCTGTGACTGAGGTCTGCCATCTCTAGTTGCAACTGACTAATTTCATACAACTAATTTCATGGCCACACTGTCACTGCTGCAGGATCCAAGCTGAGCTCCAGAGAAGCTCTATGCACCCTGGCATCAGAGGGGAGGTTGGTGGGGGGGAGGGGGGCTATAGCCACCCCTCCCAGTGCCACTGTCACTGCCTGCCCCACACAGATGGCAGCAACTGAGCATGCCCCACTCCCACCTGCAGCACAGCTCCACTTCACCCACCTTCCCAGAAAGAGACTGGTGCCGCTGCTGAGAACCAGCACTGCTGGGGCCAGTCTCCATGGAAACCCCAGCCCACAGGGGCTGCTGGGCAATGGAGTCCACTGCCAGCCAGATCTGGTTCGTGGACTGGACTTTGCCCACTGCTGGGTTATGCTTATAGAAAAAGCCAAAAGGACAAATACTTCCTTCCACTAATGAGATTAATGGCTGGGGACCAGAAACTGGAGTAAGAAGTACTTTGAGGGGGAAGGGACTTTTTAAGGTGGAATTGTTGCAACGCTTGAGTGACTGAGATGAATATTTGATGACCTTTAACTAAAAAGATAAGGACCTACCAGCCTCTATTGTAGTCTGATCCCTTTTATAATGGAAAGTGCTTTGAGCTAGAGGAAATGAGGTTGGTGCCAGATTGTAGACAGATCAAGAGAGAAGGTGGCAGCTAGGCAGCAGTGATGTTGTCACTTTTTATAGGAGGGAAGTATGTTCATAGCTGAGAAAAGGAAGACTGGGAAAGTGTTGGATGGTAGTGGTAATGCAGGAAGGATTCAACCTCACTTAGATCTTGCTGGATTGTTAATAATTTAATTTCAAATTTTAATGTGAAGATCTTTGCTCATATTACAAAATGTATTCAAATAAAACATGAATAAAAAAGACCAGAAAGTGCCTATTTGGAATCTCATACTTGGGTTTCTTCCTAACTTTGAAAAAGATATTCATATTCCCTTATCAAAAGTTCTTTGGTTCATCTAGTTAGTTAGACATCTTTCTCCTCAAGTCTTTGGAACAGATATCTAAACATCCAAGGTGATCCAGAATTTTTAATTATCATAAGAGAAATGATATTTTGATTTAATTTCTGATACTTTGACATTTTATGCTGAACAAAGTATCTTTGCATAACTTCCCCACAAGACAATATTAATGATGCAGGGACAGAGTCAGATGTGAAGCTTTCTATTTGCTTCCAAATTCAGATGTCTATCTCAAAAGCATTATAATGATAGCATTCAAAAATATACTTATTTGTCAAAGATTCCCTTCTATTTAGTGTACTGCAGGAAATGCCTTAATGCAGAAAATACTGAAGTTGGCTGACTGCAAATCTTACATATTTAAGGCATATCTGGGGAGACTTCCTGCATGCCAGAGTGCACATGTAGGAGCGCCTATTTGTGGCGCTGCTGTTTGTCCCAGGGGAAATGCATGTTCCCACTTATGGGGATGCTCCCAAAGCGTCTTCATGTAAGTCTTATCCTATACATTATTGCTATTTCAGTCTGTATAGTTCTTTCAGGATCTTAAACTAGCACAGAAATAAATTCAGTTAAATTTGCATAGCAGTAACATTTCATTTTGATAGATTTGTGTCATTCCCTCTGCCAAATATGCACACTATATTATTTTCAAAGAAAGAGATGGCTTTTTAAGTTTGTAGTCCTGGTAGTACAACCTGCAGAGTACATGGCTTTCTGTGACTGTGGGGTTAAGTAAGAAGAGAAATGCAAGTTTTGTTGCCACGTGCTGCACACATGGTACCATCATGTTTCATAATGCAGCGTCCCTTTTCCTCTGTGCCAAAAGCCTTTCTTTTTTCCTCCTCAAAATCAAATTATTTTGTCTCACTTTTCACAACTGACTTCTGCTCCCTGATATCTGATTCCCTAGTTCAATCTCAGATTTAAAAATTGTTAAGATTGACTTGCCAAATATTGCCTGAATACCTTACCCTTTCCTATTTGACCTACTGCTTTCCTTGCTTAGACAGTGAACAGAGACTGAATATATAGATGTTTAATAATAA